CTGCAGCTGCTATGGGTTCGCACTTACAAACTGTTCTGTCTAGGCTGGCCTAGAACCATGGCCCGCCCCCTCCCCCAGCCTCTCAAGGAGTTAAGATAACAGGCCTGAGCCACTGGCACCTGCCTCCATCCTTAAACTTTTTTTTTTTTTTTACAAATGTCATAAACATCTATTTTCTAAGACATCCTGAAGTAAGCCAGATGAGCAGCTCTGCCCTTTGCTGCTGTGGGGCTGTGGTGATCTTGCTCACTCCAGCACCAGTATCAGTACTAAACATCTCAGGCACCAGCAACAGTAACTAAGAATCAGTACTAAACATCTCAGCCACCCACCAACAGTAACTAAGTATCAGTACTAAACATCTATATGAAAAAATATTCAGAAACATTGATATTTACCACAGCCGAGTTTGCAACAGGAGACAGAGACAGAGAGAGAAAGAGAGGGAGGGATGGAGGGAGGGAGGGAGGGGGAGAGAGAGAGAATGGTGTATAATAAGGGAATAAATGAATTATGCTAATCCATGCAGCTGAATATTACACACCCATTGAAATCATGTTGTGACGGGCTCTAATGATAGGAGACGCTTCTTTCCGCATAATGAGCTGTCCTAAGAGGTCTCTCACCATCAGGCTGCAGCAAGCAGGAGGCAGATATGGCAGCACCCCGAGGCTGCAGGCGGGGACACGGCACCCTGGGGCTGTGGGGGGGCACAGCACCCCAGGGCTGCAGGAGGGGGAGGAACACAGCACCCTGAGCTACCCCAGGTCCAGGTTTACCTCCGGTCTGCACGGTAGGAGGCAGAGACAAAAATCACACACCCTGCAGGACACACAACTCTGGAAAGCTTGTCACCTTCTGTTAACGTGACAGACACACGCCGTGTGGCCCTGCAGTCCACTTGTAAGTGAGCGCCAAACAGCACCAGGGCCACGTGCCCGCCAGGAGACAGGGCGCAGGCCCGTGACAGCCCAACTCCACACAGCCCACAGCTCCACTGGCATGGTAACCGTTCTGGTTTTTCTATAATTGTATTGTTCTGATTGAGGTGGTGTACAGTGTTGTTACCATGTCATACATCAGGTAATGAGTCCATTTCCTTTTGGACAATGTCACCCCTTCCTCTAGTCTCCCTCCCTCCCATCTCCCTCTCCCATCCCTGCCCACAAGTTATGTAGTTCATTTTGATAAGTTTTAAAATAGGCAAAAGGGAAGTGTGTTTGGTAGCTGATAGGTTCTGCTTCCCTAGCGGGGCAGAATGAGGGCTTCTGTGGTTACATCAGAGTCTGCCCAGAGATAAGCCTCCAAAGGCTCAGGATCTATCACAACCACCCCCAAAAATAAATCTGTTGTGTTATAAGTCACAGTTTTAAAGTAAAAGAAGAGATTCTAGCAAACTGTTCAGGAATATACACAGAGAGAGAGACAGAGAGACAGAGACAGAGACAGAGAGGGAGAGGGAGAATGAAAGGGAACATTGGCCTCTGCCATCTAAACACTCTTCACATATGTGGCCCGAGGTTAGGCTGTGGGAAGCCCATTTTTACTGCTTCCCAAGGACTCTGGGCAGAGCCTCCCAGGTGGGAAGTCTGCTCCTGCAGCTGCTCTCCTCCTCTCGTGTGGAGTCCAGCACGTGGTAGGTCGTAGTCAGCAGCTCCTCTCCACCTCTCGTGTGGAGTCCAGCGCGTGGTCAGCAGCTCCTCTCCACCTCTCGTGTGGAGTCCAGCGCGTGGTCAGCGGCTCCTCTCCGCCTCTCATGTGGGGTCCAGCATGTAGCCATGGTCAGCGGCTCCTCTCCGCCTCTCGTGTGGGGTCCAGCGCGTGGTCAGCGGCTCCTCTCCGCCTCTCGTGTGGAGTCCAGCGTGTGGTCGTGGTCAGTTGCTCTCCACCTCTCGTGTGGAGTCCAGCACGTGGTCAGCGGCTCCTCTCTGCCTCCCGTGTGGAGTCCAGCATGTGGTCAGCAGCTCCTCTCCGCCTCCCGTGTGGAGTCCAGCGTGTGGCCATGGTCAACTGCTCCTCTCCGCTTCTCGTGTGGGGTCCAGCATGTGGTCAGCAGCTCCTCTCCGCCTCTCCTGTGGGGTCCAGCGCGTGGTCGTGGCAGTGTGTGGGGTCACATCCTACAGGCGCTTGTCAGTCTGCCTCTGCAGCTCCTGCCACAGGCATCACGTTGAGAAGCCCTGCACCCTCCGCTACCAAGAGCCCTCTATTGTTATTCCACGTATTTGGGGGCATTGTTTTAATTTATTCATTTTTTACATATTCGTTTGTCTGGATCTGTACTTCTTGGTCTAAAACAATAATGAGGCTTATATGCATGGATTCATTTTAAAATTACTATAGCTTTATGCAAAGCTTGAAATCATGTAGAGTGGTGCCTGTCTTTTGCTTATAATTGGTATTGCTAACCGGTGTGTGTGTGTGTGTGTGTGTGTGTGTGTGTGTGTGTGTGTATAGTGTATGTGTGCACTATATGAATTCATGGATTTTAGGACTCCCCCCATCATTTTCATTAGATATGGTATTTGGGATTCTGAATGTATAGAATACTGTAAGCAGTATTGGTATTTTAATGTCAATCCTAATCCATGAACATGGGCTATCCATTTGCATCTTCAACTTCTTTACTACTTTATGGCTTTTATGTACAGAACTTTTATGACCTCAGTTAAATTTACCACTAAATATTTTAGGCTTTTATTTTGTATTTATTATTTTAGCCATGTAAACGGCTTTGCCACACTGTAAACATTGACACCTTTCTTGCATAATGTGTTCTAAGCATACATGGTGATCCATGTGCTGGCATGTCAGTCCATGTGCTGGTTCATACCACACTGATCTGTGTGCTGGTTTGTATCCTGTAATTTTACTGGCTCTGTCTTCCATCTCTAACGGTTTCTCTTTTCACTTGGAAGAATCTTTGATATCATCAGCAAATAGGAGCAATTTAAGTTCTTCCTAAAGAATTGAAATGCCACTTGCTTTTCCCGGCCCTGGCAGGTCCCCATGGACCTGCCATGCTGTGCTAACAGAAGAGGTGAGAGTGGGGCTTGTGTTCCATGTCTTGGCAAAAGTGTCAGGTTTCCATTGGTGGGCAGTCATGGCCATGGGCTTCTCATATGGGCCTGCACTGTGCATAGGTCATTCCTTCTATGTCTAACTTGGTCAGAGTTGTGTTTTAAACCTGAAAGAATGTTGAATTCCCAAGCCATTTTTCCGCATATGACATAACCTGTGGCTCATTTCATTAACTAGGTGTGTTATGTTTATTGATGTGCTTAGATTGAACCATCCTTGCATTCCGGGGATAGATGCAACAGGATTATGAGGAAAAAACTGTTGTGAGTTTAGTGTGCTATTTTGTCAAGAATTTTTACACATCTAACATTCATGGAGCATAGGGCCTGTGATTTTATTTTCTTGTAATGTTCGTGTTTTATTTTTATATCAGGGTAATTTAATACTGGCCTCCTCTTGGATGTTTTGTAAGTTTGAGGATGAGTGTTATTACACATCTGGGAGGACCCAGCTGTGAAGCTAACCGCTCCTGGACTTTCCTTTGATGGCAGGCTTTTTGTAATCAGTCTCAATTTGTTGATGTGATGGACTGTCATTGTGCACAAACCACCATGTGAGTGGTTTTCTGCCAGCCCTTGCTGCCGACCCTCCATGCAGGGACTACAGGATGGGCCTGGAAAGACAAGCGAGGTAGACTGAAGCAGACCACATCCAGCAGGCATGTGCTGCATGGGAGAGAAGCAGGGGCTGCAGTGAGGGAAGGGAGGGCCAGCACAGGACTGCAGGAACGGGGAAGCTGGGGAGAGGGGCTGCATCTCAAGTTACCTCTTCAGTGAACTCCCCAGGACAGCACCCCTGCGATAGACCCATGGGTATCCCCGAGCTGGCATGAGGCTGTTAGCACAGGTTGGGCAGTGGCTGGCAGGCCTGTGTCTTTGCAGTGAATCCTCATGTCCAAAAGAACCAGGTTTTCTCAGATGCATGGGTGACTACCATCCATAAATTGTCTCACCTTACATGTGCCAGGCCCCATCCCTCCTCAACACACTGCCCATGCCAGGATCAGGCTTCCCCATGGGATCGACTCTGGCCTTTCATAGGCAGTAGCAGGGACAGCAGGCTGGGTCTCTTCTCTGGGGCACACAGGATGAGGTGCCTGGAGTCATATACCTGGTGGCTCTGAGGAGTGTCCACACATGTCAGTGTGGCCAGCACAGATCCTGGGCTCCCCAGCCAGGCACACAGCTCTCCCAGCTTAGTTCTATACTTGGTTATGGGGACAAGAGAGGTGAACAGCTTCTCCCTAGTGGAGTCACCAGCCCACTGGCAGGGATGGAGCCACAGTCCACATCCAGGCAGTAGACAGCACATGCTGCCATGAGAGGGTCCCAGTGGAGGCACAGATGCAGGGTCCCAGATAGATAGCGAGAGTCTCAAAGGCTCTCTGAGAAACTGGAGCTGGGAAGGGGTGGGTATGTGTGTGTGCACACGAGTTTGTATGTGCGCACGTGCACGCGCGCACATACACACACATTGGTATGTACGTCTAGGACTGTTGGCAGGGCAAGCAAGTCCTGATTCCCAAGGGTACAGAGGAATTGCCAGACTGCAGAGCCCAGTAACACACAGACCTGTCATAAAGCAAGGGACAGATGTGATAAGATAGGGAGGGGCCTCTCCTCAGAGCCTGGCAGAGGGTCATTGGAGGAGCTGGTCTGGGCCTTGGCCGGTGCTTCAGTGTCAAGTTTGGGTTTGAGGAAATGAGAGCCAAGTCTGCATTCTGTCCCCTAGTCGGGCAAGTGGCTTCTCGGCACCACTTGCACAAGTACTCCTTTACTTCCTGAGGTCCCACCGGTGTCACTCACTGTGCTTTTTGCCCAATACAGAGCTTGGCCCAGCAGGCCCGCCTGGCACTAGCTGGTCAGCAGAGGGTGCAGGACCGGGTGGGGGCCCCGCTCTTGAAGAGTCATGAGCCAAGGCTGTGGGCTTGTTAAGCATCTTTATTCCATGTTTCTGGCACGTCACATTCCAGACACACACGCTGCCCCACTGGGGACACCTGCTTACACCAGGGCTGTCAGCATCCCTCGCATCCGGCCTCACAGTGCACACATGAAAACACGCAGGACAAAACCTCATGGGCCCGGCCCCTTTGGAAGATGAACTGGCTCGAGAGGTCAGCTTTAGTGTCCCCTAAACTCTGGCTGCACAGAACAATCAGAACTATGGAAGGGGGCATTCCCAGGGCTGATCTTGGCTAGACAAGTAGGGACATCTGAGCACAGAGCCACAGGGTTGATTTTATTTATAAGTGGACCCCCTTAACTCCAGGAAGGACTGGATGGGCAGGAAGCCCACTTGGAGCTGGTCTGAGGAGCCCCCTCATTCTGGCTGGGGGTGATCGGGTAGGTCACTGAGGTGACCTGGGAGAGCAGGGCACTTGCACCGTATGCTGTGTGAATTCCATGCTATACACAAAGGCCCAAAATTATTTTACCAGAAGCCAGAATACACATATATCACACGCCCTACATATCCCATGGCCTCTGGGAAATGTCCTGGAACCTGGGCAGGGGCTGCATCAGCTCCAAAAGGAGGGACAGATGTGAGAACAGGGCCACAATGGGTCTCTGAGAGCAGGCGCCTTGAGGGGCTAGGCCTAATGCCTCACCTCACAGGTGGCCCGATGGCTCCACAGGGTGATCCTGTCACCCGGGCCAGGCATCCTGTGACACCGGGAGAGCATGCAGGAGGCATGACTGAAGACCTGGGAGCAGCAAATCCAGCCCCAGTGTGCCCGGGAGCCAATCAACACAGAGGCGAAGAGGCAGCTCCTGGTTGATGTGCGTCCCCAGCTGCTCTTCTCTCCTGGAGGCCCAAGCAGCCACGTGGGGCCCCCACGGAGGGCAGGGCCTCAGAGCGCTACACCCACACTGCTGGTGGCCATCTTGGGGCCCTCAGGACAGCCCCTCCCCAGTGGGTCATTGGACTGAGACCATCAAGTGCCGGGAGCGGGGTGACTAGAAATGAAAAGTAAGGCAACTGTGACAGGCTTTGCTTGGCCTCCGGCCTCTGTCCCCCATCTCCTCAGGACCCCTCTCCTGACACCTGCTTCCAGCCAGCTCTGCCCAGGCCTCGGCTGGCTACCAGAGGCTCTGTGCACACAGAGACCCCAGCTGACTGCAACACCTTGCTCAGCATTTTGTCTGTTTTATTCTTCCACGCAACAGCATAGTTTTGCATTTCAGAGTAGGCCTGGATGGCTAGCCCGCCTGGCACGGACAGCAGGCCTCTCCTGCAGGATCTGCCGGTCCGCCGCCCCTGGGCAGAGGCCCAGGGGATAAGCATTTGGCAAGGATGCACCGAGACAGGGTGAGGGAGACTCCTGGCCCAAGTGGGGCCCCAGAACTGAGGCCCTTCCTGGCTGTCTTTGGTATCTCAGAAAACTGAGGCTGCCCATCCCCCCAGCCCTGGGCCAAGCCGGGGCCCATTCTAGCAGGCTGCCAGCAGGGTGGGACTGCCCTGCAAGGCTGTGCCCAGCCCAGGACCAGCACGGAGGGGCCTCCGCCTGGCCGGGCAGGGAGGGGGCACCGCCCTGGGCGTGAGGCCATGGCTGCAAGCCCAGCCTCACTTCTTGTAGTGATTCGGGGCATCTGCGAATGCAAACTTGAGGCGGTAGGCCTCAGCCAGCAACAGGCTGATGTCCTCATCATTCCAGTGAGCGGTGGGCAGGTTCTGAAGGAAGAGCAGCAGCTCCTGCAGAGAGAGAGGGGTGTCAGCGGAGGGCCGCAGGGCCCGCGGGAGCAGAGCCCTGGGAGGGTGCAGGGTGGCTGGCCCTCGCTTGCTGCAGCCCTGGCAGAGCCCAGGGCCCCAGGCAGACCCAGTGGTCCATTGTTATGAGCCAGTTATCAAGCTCCTGGTATTGCTCGGGGGGGGGGGCATCAGTACCCCCAGGCCATGGAGCCTCTCAAATCTGGCTACAAGTGAGCTGTTCTGGCCTGGACCTCTTTGGGAGTGGTGATGCTCAGGCCCATAAACTTCCCTCGGTGACTCTCCCAGCCCAGCAGGCAGCAGCCGAGGGGCCCCTGTGAGCAAGAGACCACAGGAGGAGCTGGAGATGGTTAAACATCCTCCCTCCTCCTCCTCCTCCTCTGCCTCCTCCTTCTCCTTCCTCCTTCTATCCTCTTCCTCCTCCTCCTCTTCCTCCTCCTCTGCCTCCTGGCAGGGGCTTCAAGCCCACTGGGTGGGGCTGTACCACAGGAGCTTCCTGACATCTGGGACCCAAGGGGCCAGACGTGTTCACCAGTCACGAGGAACCCGCCCCGGTCGTGTGCTAGGTACACAATGGGCAGCAGCCCATCACTGCCCCTCACGCAGCCCCCCACCCACAGGAAAGAGGAGGTCTGCAGTGGGGTGCCCCTCCTGCGGCCGGCAGCTCCAGGCTGGGCTGGGCCATGGCCCAGGCGGCCTCCTCCCCAGGGACACACAGAGATGTCTCCGGAACTCAGGCGTGGAGGCTGGGGCAGATGCTGCTGATGGTCACATGGCAAATGCCAAGCGGCAGGTGCTGGGAAGGAAAAGCACAGGGTCCCGGGGCCGCAGGGCACCGGGGGACTCAGGTGGGCCCGGCACCGCGGTGCCAGCAGCCCGGCCCTCCCATGAGACCTTGGCCTACATCGGGGGCACCCGGCAACGTTACCAAGGCAGCGTGGGTCTTGGGGGACTGCAACGCCTCGAGGGCTCTGCAAGAGGGCTTTGCTCAAAGGGCCCCGGGGCCCAAACAGCTTCCCACACAGAGGCTCAGACGACGAGCGGGGACTGGACGGGGCCGGCCCAGGGCCAGGCGTCCGCTCCCAAAGCCAGCTGCGTTTCCAGGGGGTGCTCCGTGCTCCCTGGGCCCCGTGGGGCAATGTCGGACACGGGCTGCCCACTCCTGCTTCCCTTCCCGTCCAGAAGCGGCTGTCGGGCTGGTGCTGACTCATGTGACCGAGGACGGTTGGCTCAGGCTGTTTGGGCTGCCAGCCTCAAATGGTGTGGCCCAAGATGGCGCCTGACCTCCGCCCGCCACGCGGGCGGGACCCTGTGCGGTCGGCGCGGTGGGCCCAGAGGCGCTGGCTCTGCCGTACACAGCTGGGCTCCCTGAGCTCGCTCCCTCTGCCTGTGCAGGGCCGGCCGGCCCAGGACACAGGCGTGGAGCTGACAGCAGCCCAGCGCGGACCGGAGCCACACGCTCCCCTAATGGCCGTTTTAATGTGCATTCCCCCAACCCCCAACCCCCCGTTCCTCGATTCCAGTTCCTTTGCATTTTGGATACTTTCTCTGGGCCTTTAAATTGAATTCACAGAGCAAATTTCACTGGCAATCTGTCCTCGGGGACGCATCAACATCAATCCGCTGTCTTTCACCATTAGATGCAACTTACACGGATGCCAATCCAATTCTGAGCAGGTCATAAATAAATACCTTTGGTTTTATTTTTAATCCACTTCGCTTCATATTATCATGACCTCGCTACTTGCAAGGTGAGAAGCAATACCCTCCCATTATGGTAACTTACCGACCGCACTGCACACTCAATTTCAGAATCTAATTTAGTCCCCAGGTTCACTGGATGGAGGGAGAATAGAAATGCCCGGCTCTTCACAGCCTGCAATGCTAAAGAAGGAAAAATCTATCCGGGTGACCTTTACGGCAGGCAAAGAACACTGACAAATACATCCTTAAATACAGACTTCTTCTTTAAAAAGGCCTGTCGTGTTTGTGCGCTAGGCCGCCGTGGCTCGTGGCTGGGAAACATGGCACATTTGTTAACGGTGAGCTGGTCTGCATTAGCACCCCACGCCGGGGCCGGGGCCGCAACTCACGCAGCCAGCGCTGGCAGCGTGACGGGGGCTGTGGCTCACCAGTGCGGCTCTGCCCAACCCAGGCGCACCCAGACAGCCAGGCCAGACGGCTCTGCCGGGCGGTGCTGTGCCTCCCAACCCACAGGCCGCTGAGACTTGAAGGAAGATTACTGCCCACCACGCTGAAAGCTCACCAAGCCCTCCATCTCTGTCATCCTCTGCCCACCCCCTGTGGACACCTCTGCTTCCACAAAGCCAGGGCGACAGCGCAGGGTGCTGCCACACGCTGCCCCCCGACTCGCCTCGCTCTGGGAGCCCTTCCGCTGGACCCATGAGGAAGGCCCACTGTGGGACTGACGGAGCTGGTCCCAACAGCCTCCCCACACACATGTGGTCCTCAGTCAGACCACACGGCATGATCACCAGACGAAGTCTAGATGCACAATGTTCAGCTCGGGACTCAGACCCTGCCCTGCACAATGCCGAGCTCCAGACTCAGACCCTGCCCCAGGTGGACAGACATGCTGGAGGGGGCTGCGGGAGTCCCTGGGCACCAGGCGGCACCCGGCCCTGGGACGGAGTGGCTCAGAGCCGTCTCCTTTCTATCCGTGGGCACAGCAAGGGCGGGGCGGCCCCACCAGGGCCTCCCTGGCGTGGTGTAAGGCAGCCCACGCTCACTTCCCACAAGTGCTGGTGTGTGAATGATGGGTGGGACTCAGGGCAAAGGTTAGGCACTGAGCAGGGCTGCTAAGGACGACACCATCCTTCTCGTTGGACCTAGCCTGCGTGGGTTCCAAGAGGTGAGATTTCTAATGCTAAAGAGCAAATGGCGTTGATGGTTTTAGCAGTTTCCTGCCGAAGGGTTTATTTCTCTAAAGAGCCCCAAGCATTTCGGGGCTACCAGCACAGCGCTCGCTCCTCACACCACGGACAGACAGTGGCCACTGTGTCCGTGGGTGCCATGACAAAGGAGTTGCGGGGGTCTGGGTCCCGCTCAGGGTCTCCTCTCGGGAGCTTCGGGAGCTTGCACAGCAGAGACACAGGCAGGACGATCACAGGATGGAGGGTCAGCGGGCCCAGGCCCCAGCCCTGTCCCCCTCCATCTACCACACTGGCCCTACAAGACCCCACGGTCCTGCCCTCAGGGTACTCCCCACAAAGCAGCAGACTGCCTTCTCTGCCACTCCAGCAGGTCCACGTGCCCCAGCGCCCCCAAACGGGCACACAGCACCCAGCGGTCCAGGAACGGTGAGCTCGGTGCACGGCAGCCCCGGGGACGGCCAGGGCCACACATCAGCTCCAGTGTATTTGCCACAGGACCCCAGGCAGGCCTCCCACCCCGCTGTGCCTCTGCTTCTCATCTGCACAGTGGGAACAATAACGTCTGTCCAGCTGAGTGCTGATGAGCAGAGTGCCCTAAGTGCTCAGAACAGAGCAAATGCGTGACCCCTCATGGTCACCCTAGTCACAGTCATCCTGATGGGGGCTGCCCTACTCGTGGTAGTGGTGGCCACCCCCTCAGCCTTTGATACTGACCAAGTTTTCCTCCGTAGGAAATGCCTGTCTTTTAACAAACAAGACACCGGGTTCTCATGAGCGGAGCCTCGGGGAGGCAGGGAGGACATCCTGTCTTCTTGCTGTCACATCTGGACACAGCAGGGATAGCAGGCATGCGTGGATGGCAAGGGGCAATGGGGGCAGTGGGGGTCCATGGAAGTCCAGGGCACAGCAGAGGTCCATGGGGATGGCGGGGTCCACAGGGACAGTGGGGGGGTCCATGGAAGTCCATGGGAAGGCAGGGGAGTTTGGGGACAGCAGAGGTCCATGGGGATGGTGGGGTCCACAGGGACAGTGCGGGGGGAGGGGTCCGTGGAAGTCCAGGGCACAGCAGAGGTCCATGGGCATGGCAGGGGTCCACAGGGACAGTGGGGGGGGTCCATGGAAGTCCATGGGAAGGCGGGGGAGTTTGGGGACAGCAGAGGTCCACAGGGACAGTGGGGGGTCCATGGGGACAGCGGAGATTCATGGGGATGGCGGGGGTCCACGGGAGTTCACGGGGGCAGCCACCATCATGGGTGCTGACACAGGGCTGTGGGCGGGGTCCTGCTGGCCACCGGGAGCCAAGGTGCCCACAGCCCAGGTAACACCATGCCCGTGTGCCCGCACTGCATCTGGTACTCCCAAGAGAGCCGGCCTCCCCAGCCCCGGCCTCCACCTCACCTAGCCCTCCTGAAGATGCCAGAATTTGGGAGGGCAATGTCTTTGGGCTAGATCTTCAAAGTAGAACCTTGGATACAAAATGGACTATTTAGTTTAAGGATTGGCTGGGACATGAACTGCTGAGTGCATAAAATAAAAGGGCCTTTCTTGCAGCCGGGTGCCAGTGGCTCGCACCTGCCATCCTAGCTACTCAGGAGGCTGAGATCTGAGGATCGCGGTTCAAAGCCAGCCCGGGCAGGAAAGTCCGTGACACTGTTATCTCCAATGAACCATTAGAAAACCGGAAGTGACTCTGGCTCAAGCGGTAGAGCGCTCGCCTTGGGCTGAAGAGCTGAGGGACAGCGCCCAGGCCCAGAGTTCAAGCCCCACGACCAGCAAAAAAAAAGAAAGAAAAACACAAGGCCCTTTCTTGTCCTGCCTGCTGGTGTGGGCTGTGCTTGCCACACTGGACATTCTCGCCAAGCTCCCACGGCAGGGGCCATGCTGAGGGGACAGAGAGGCGCGGGAGGTGCCCAGCTCCTACACCAGCCTTCACCCAGCCAGACCTCACGGGGGCAACGCAGGGCAGCTGTGGCCGACCTTTGACTCGCTCAGCACAGGGTCATGCACAGTGCCTCGGGGTGCCCCCTGCAGGACGCAGGTACAGGTGAGTGGCAGGCAGAGGGCAGGCGAGGGTGAGCCCATCACGGAGCA